GGCTGCGCAGTTCTTTTTCTACTTGTTTCTCCTTTTCTATGGAGAAGTTCTTGTTACTGTTACACATGCGTTATATTTTGTCGTCGTTAATTGATTGATTGATTTTCTGCCTTATGCATGCTAATTTCTGTAGGTTCTATTGTCTTTGTATGCACAAATATGGTAATACTAGCTTGCAAAGATCAGATTTCTCTGACTAATATATAGAATGGTGGTTGCTCTTTTGCCCTTTATGGGATTTGGTACACAGCTTGTAGATTATTAAATTCAATCATGCTATATACAAACCTAAAGCATGCACTTAAACTATATAATCCATGCACAAGCCACTCTTTGAAGTATCTGGAGAATCCTTCTAATTTAGAAAACTATATTCCTCTGGCTCAAAGAAAAGACTACTCTGATTTATTGAATAGGGTGTACCCATTATTTTTTTGTCAATTTAGTTTCTGAGTCCATCATAGGCTAATGTTATCTAATGTCAAACTCGCAAGCTCTCTAACATCAGATCTGTCGTGATAAAATTTTTGTATGTCTTGGCCCTATGTTCAACATGTCATAGCTTTGATCCCTAATATTCATAGTCAGAGGTTTGATACCAAAATAGTGAAGGAATGGTTGAACTAGAATAATTTTGCAACTTTCTGGATATGTATGTGCTTGTTAGTAGTTGATCATGAGTTATGGCATGCATGGAGAAAAAAAAAAGGGGGGTTTTCCTCCTGCTTTCCCATTTCTCACAGACTTTGTGCTGCTTTTCCAGTGTGACCCAGAAGAACCTGATTCATGCGACTCTGGTTGCAATGGTGGGCTGATGAATAGCGCCTTTGAATACACCCTTAAAGCTGGTGGGCTGATGCGAGAGGATGATTATCCTTACACTGGTACCGATCGTGGAACATGCAAATTTGACAAATCAAAGATAGCTGCTACTGTTGCCAACTTTAGCGTTGTCTCTCTTGATGAGGATCAAATTGCCGCAAATGTGGTGAAGAATGGTCCCCTGGCGGGTAAATGGCTCTTAACTGTTAAAATTTTTCTCTTTTTACTGCTTCTATTGCAGCATCAAGTTTGGCATGTTGAAATTTCAAGATCTACCACTTCCTCTAAATAGAGGCAGAAATCTAATTCACTTAGAATTCCACCATTAGAATAGCATCCAAATCTCTGAGTGTTCTCATAATATTTAAAGTGCCGCAATGCATTAAATTTCAGCATCTAGTTTGGCATGTTGAGTTTCAACATATGCAAAAATGTTAAGCTTTTCTCTGCTTTGTTCAATACAGTGGCCATCAATGCAGCATACATGCAGACATATATTGGAGGAGTGTCATGCCCGTATATATGCTCAAGGCGCCTCAACCATGGTGTGTTGTTGGTGGGATATGGTTCAGCTGGCTACGCGCCCATCCGACTGAAGGAAAAGCCATACTGGGTCATAAAGAATTCATGGGGAGAAAACTGGGGAGAGAACGGATATTACAAGATCTGCAGGGGTCGCAATATTTGTGGAGTTGACTCCATGGTCTCAACCGTAACTGCTGTTCATACAACCTCACAGTAGTTGTGGGAAGTTAAAGTAGTGTCATTGCCATCCGGAAAGGATGTGTATATAATGCATGTGACAGTTTATATATTATTTCTGTCAGATTGTCCAAAAGACGTGCTTTTGGATTCCATAAGGACTAGAATGTGTCTTTCTCGCTCTGTTTAAGAACCTTCAAATTTCAATGCATGTTATTATTTGCAAGTTTCAATCACCCGCATCGAATGCTATTTTGGGATATAGATCTACACTTGGATGTTATCAAATGCATGGTATATATTATTTATCCTAAAGTCATTTTTTTTTTTTTCTAGATAGAACGACTTGAATATGTAGTTGTAAACCGAAGTACCTTCTTCTGCACGAAGGTGGATGTCAGTCTTGTATTTGCAGTTATCGAGTTAGGTACAAATTTTGATTGAAATTGCTCTTCCCTCCTTGGTGAGAGTTTTTTGTTATCTTTTTATTTTCTGATGGTGCTTCAAAGCGATGTTTTATAGAATACGTAAGTGAAAGATTTAATATTTTTTCATTTTTTTCTAAGTACATATTAATGTTTCAAGTGCGTAAAGCTTTAAATGCGTTTCTATCAACAACCCCCCAAACATCCTCTAAATTTGAAAATACTAAAAGAAGCAAATTAGATGATTTAGTGCACAGAACTTGTCGAGGAAATGGGGAGGGACAAAATGTTATTGATTGTTCCCAGGCTTCTATTCATTACAAACACCATGACCCTTTTTCCAGGAAGTTTCGTCCTAATGAAGAAAATCACATTTTGTCACTTCCAGACCTCCTCCCTTCAAACTCGCTTAGCACGCGAAGAAAAGGAAAAAAAACTGAAAGTTTAGTTTCGTAATTTCATATTTCTTTTCTAATAATTCAACACTTCAGATTTCATCTCTTATTATTTTATTTTTATGGCTAATTTTTTCAAAAACATCTGCAAATATATAGATTTGAATATTTAGAAATCAAGACTAAATAGATTAAAACTGAAACCTAGAGAGAAGCCAAAACATAAACGGACGAGTTCAAACAGCAAAACACTAAATTACCACAAACAGATTAGGGTGATTAAATTGCAATAAGACTCAATCACACAATACGTCAAAGTGAAATTTCCTAAAGAAATAAGAATCCAAAAGGACGAGTGACAGTTCATAAACTTTGGTGTTGCTTATTAAACATAAATTGGAAGTTTGAATAAATTAAATGTTTCTTATTACACCTGGACATAAACAGCCAACCACATACAAAGCCAGTAAGCCACCAGCCAAATTTTTGAAAACCTGCTTATTCCTTCCGAAAAACAAACAATAATTGGAAGGGAATGGCGCAGCATGAAGCTTCCTCAAATCTCCATATAACGGTACATACATACATACATCCCAATTCTATCCGAATCATGTTCAAATGAAAAAATCAACATGCTTCCGCAACTAAACAGTCACTCTACTCCGTCTTCTCGACTATGAACAGCTATAATTCAATCTGCTGTGTCAATCCTCTTCACCATTAAGCAGCTCGAACGAGAACGGGTAGAACTTGTAGCCATCTCCCTCATAGAACTTGTTTTGGAATTCGACCCAGTGAAGACGCAGAGCATGTAGGAATGCACTGAGAGTTTCCATCACTAGCAACACACCAACAGTTGCAAAAATAAAGACAATGATGCCGACAATTAGGATAATTACATTGTTGAACCTGTTAAATACAGAAACAGTGTTAGGATAGCGAGGGAATTATGCTGCTATTTATGCTGTTTGCTGCTTTTTCCAGGACTACAAAGAAAATATTTCAGACTTGAACTGATAATGGGATAAAGAACGTAAAACATACCCCCAGGCAAGCATGAGGACCTTCTCATAGAAGACACTCGATAACTCTGAGTGGGCAAGACTGCACAAAATAAAAGCAAAGGACAAATATAGATAGCCAAAACTCAGGAAATGAGATAACCTGAACAAAAACAATAAAATCCAGGAAAATTTGATTGCAGATATCATGAAGAATATACGCAGCTGCAGATATGATGTGCACAAATATCAAACAAATAGCAATAGCATGGAAAAGTGGCCTCTAGTTGGTGCTCAGCAAACAGGCAGGGACACAATTTTCCAATTTTCATCTTCCAAACTGTCTCCAGAAGTTGATTGGCATTGTATGTAAGCGATATTTGGTAAAATGGCACGTAAGCTCACATACATAAAAACATGCAGCATTCAGATTATCCTAACATCCTCATATTTTTATATATTTTCCTTGCATCAGGAGAGACAACTTTAGTGTAAAGTGATTACATGCACCATTTTGATCATGTACCTAAGAGCCCATAAACGTAGGTATGAAGCCGTGTTTGAAACTGCCCCAAGCACAAACTCTATGGTGTGTATGAGCTGATGTACAAAAATTTCACTGAACTCGAACTCTTCATGATCATGGGAATCATGGTTTCCCTCTGCTTGAAGACTATCCTCTGTGCCTTCAATTGGCATGTAAGATTGTCCTTGGTGCCTCTGAAGAAACATTATCAGAAGTTAACAGGCACAAAATAATAATTTGTGAAATATATTAACCCAGATTTTTTTTTAATGGAAACATGCTAACCAAAATATTTTAGCAAGGCAAAAGCATAGCTTACCTCTTGGTGTTGCTTCTTCAAAAGTAAAGGCTTTGGAAGAAGCATCCACGGTACAGAAACAAGGGCCAGCAGCAATAGAACAAGCTGGATTTCAAGAAATGAGTAGAAAGGATGTAAAAATATCCCAGATGGATGGCAAGAAATGTAAATGCTATTGGAAAGAAAACGCCTACCTGAACTGTTTTTTGGCCAGGAAAAAGCTGATTTTCTCCTAAATCATCAGTTGGACTTAGGAACATGTATATCATTATGTGATACAAATCAGCTTGTGAACCAGTCCACCATTTTATGATGATAAGGACTGATAAGTAGCCAAACAGCCCATTTAAAAATATCATTTGAGGAATGAACTGAAACCTGGAAAAATGCAAGACCAGAGACTGCCTTTTATTAGTAGCAGTTTGACTGCACTAGGTCAGGAAAGGCTTGAAAAGATGGGGAAGCAAACTAAAACTAAAATTGTCACATGATACATACCAGACATTCAAGCTACTTCTAAAGAATCTTGCATTGAAATAACTTAGTATGATCCCAAGGTTCATTTGGGCCACCCCTAGCAGGATCGACATTTTCATCTTCAAGGAGTTGAGGAATGGTAACTCACTGCGGGTGCCATGCCATGCAGGATCCACTCCAAATGGATAAGTGTCCCGAGTCTTAATCAGACCAACTGTAGTAGCATCCCTGCAAGAAGATGCTAAAAATAGTCAAAAGGGCTACATTGTGAATATCAATAACATCCATCAAACATCTAGTTAAATTACCTGCAAGAAAGATCTCGGCATGTATATGCTGACTTTGCAAATAATTCAAATGGCACAGAGAAGAACTCATTATAGATCAAACCAGTATAAATTGAGAACAGTGCCATCATCATTATAACATATCGACCACCAAAGGTCATCTCTGTGATGTCTCCAAGTTTCTGTAGCTCATAAGAATTGTCACTCAATTAGCTTCTAACTATAAACAATCATTAAATAAAATGCAAACCAGGATAACTGAATAAATCAAACAATGGAAGGAATTGATTCATAGCCCTAGACAGCAAAGAATACTACTTTTTGGCTCTTTTGAGATTCTGATGGCCACTAAGAGGAAATTTATTCTATAGATTAGCAATTCATTAAAAATCCAAAGCTCAAATATGGCAGAAAGGAATATTTTGCACAGGTCACTGTTGGCTGATGTATAAAGTACTATAAAAACCCTTGCTCACCATTTTTTGTTAGCTATTTCAAATATTCTGAGTAATTGGCTAATTATGTTGTTATAGAACAAACCCAAAAAAGAAATGTAAATAAAAAGGAATAAAGAAGGAGAGGGAGACAGGAATTGATGATAACCTTAATCAGCTGGTTTAATAAGTTACTACATTCACTCAAAATCCCTCCCATTTACTTGTTGAGAAATTCTTCTACTGGATGGCAAGTGAAAGCTAATTTAAAAGATCATCAACAAACAGAACCAGCATGTAGGGAACAACTCCAACTCTAGAACCTAGGAATTCCTATGTCAAAGGGCCAATTTCAAAATCAACAGAGTAAATATTGCCCAGCTTCTACCTCCAATATATAATTGAGGCAAAATAACATGCTAACAAGAAGAAAATCAGCATATATATATATTGAAATAAAAAGTGTATGTATATTAATATTGGCACCAAGGGGGTTACCTACCCATTTGCAAAAGATTTACAAAACAATCAGAGTATCAAGAAGGTTCCCTAACTCTTCTAAAGAATGAAAATCCGCACATATTACTGCATCTGCATAAATATATTCTTCAAACATGTAATAACCTTAACC